TAGAATAGAATAGAATAGAATAGAATAGAATAGAATAGAATAGAATAGAATAGAATAGAATAGAATAGAATCACAGAACAGAATTAAAGTAGAGTAGAATGGAGTGGAATGGAATAGAATATTGGAATGAAGGATGGGATAGGATAGGATAGGATAAACATAGTTGGAAGGGATGTTGGAGGTCTTCTAGTCCAACTCCCTGCTCAGGGAGGAAACCCAACAAATCATCTCCACATAGTATGAAACTGTCCTGGTGTTCAATCAGTTATTGTGACTTGAGCGCAGAGAAGAGCAACAAAGATGATTAGGGAGCCGGAGGCTAAAACATGAAGAACCGTTATAAAATTTGGGTATTGCTAGAAAAGAAGGACCAGGGCTGAGAGTCTTCCAATATCTCAGGGGCTGCCCCAAAGAAGAGGGGGTCATCCTGTTCTCCAAAGCATCCGAGGGCAGGACAAGAAGCCACGGATGGAAAGTAATCCAGGTGAGAACCAACCTATGAACTAAGGAGAAGTTGCTTGACAGTTAGAACAATTAATCAGTGGAATGTCTTGCCACCAGAAGTTGTGAATGCTCCAACACTGGAAGTTTTTAAGAAGAGATTGGACAACCATTTGTCTGAAATGCTATAGGATTTCCTGCCTAAGCAGGGGGGTTGGACTAGAAGACCTCCAAGGTCCCTTCCAACCCTTGTTATTCTGTTATTTAGTTTTATGTCATAATTAATCCAGCATCTGATGCTTCCTGCACCTAGCAGATATACAAACTTGATTTGCTTTCAAGAAATTACTATCTAGCGATCTCACATACTGGATTGAGATAACATTTTAGTTTTATCGATAAAGAGGACTCAGTAAGCACACATTTCTTAACATGCCTTCAAACGAACATTTAAAAACAAAACAAGGTCCCCTAACATTTTGTGGTCAGTGGATTTCTGATATTTTAAGAATTTGGAGGGAATTGGGGGAATTTGGTTCATTTGCTAGAAAATGAAAGGTGGTATTGCCTTGTTTTGTTGTGCAGTGAAGGCAGAGATGAAGGTTATGCTGTTATTTAGAAGTCCTTTTTTAAAATGCTCTTTGGCTCCAACATCTATTCCAGAGGAGGAAATGAGTAAATTGACCTAAAACTGGCTACAGAGGAAGATATAAATTGGGGTTTGGAGTTTAAGCCGGGTCATAGAGTTCTACCTGAATGCTACGGTGGCCTAGAGGTGAAGGTCTTTCCTCACAACAAGAGGCTGTGAGTTCGATCCTAGGTAGAGTCAGATATTTCTTTCTCTCTGGGCACACTGAGAATATATCTGCTGAACAAAACTCCACATTGGTAACAGGAAGGTCATCCGGCCATTAAAACACTCCGCTGGCTCCGTTCAGTTACCCAGACTCCACCCACATGGGAATAGGGGGTTGTTAAATGATGATGATAGAGTTCTACCCCCCAAAAAACCCCACAACTGAGTCTTTTACAGAATATTTAGTACTATTTAGGGAAAAAAAAGAATCAGTCACACTGAAAATCTTTATTTGCTTTTTTAAAAGCAAGGGTTTTGTTTTGTTTCCTCTTCGAATTGACTTTTCTTGTTGTTCATTTCTCTTGCAGGTTGATGAAAAGGCTCTCAAACACATCACAGAAATGGGCTTTAGCAAGGAAGCCGCCCGGCAGGCACTCATGGATAATAGCAACAACCTTGAAGCTTCATTAAATTTCCTTCTCAACAGCAATAAACAAGCCACCACTCAAGGACCAGCTGCTAGAGGTATAATTTCATTTATCTGTCATACAGGAAAGGATTTTTGTGGGATCCCGAATTTTGGGGAATACAGATTTATTTCCTTAAATAGGACAGATTTATTTACTCCTTGCCGTTCATTTAGTGATCATTCGAAGTTTCAACAGCGCTGAGAAAATCACACTTTTTCACACTTAACGACGGGTGCAAGCATCCCCCGTGGTCCCTTGATCAAAATTCAGACTTGCTTGGCGACCGATTTGTGTTTATGACAGTTGCAATGCAGTGGAGGTCACGTGCATCCGCTTCTGCGGCTGCCTGACAAACCAAGTCAACGGAGAAACCAGATTTTGCTTAACGGCCGTGTTACTCATTTAACAGCTGCAATGATTCACTTAAAGAAAAGAAAGAAAGTTTGTAGAATGGGGCAAAACTCGCTTTAGCGAATGTTTCACTTAGCAACAGAAATTATGGGCTCGATTGTGGTTGAAAGTCCAGGACTTACTGACATTTTTTGTCTGTCTGTCTGTCTGTCTGTCTATCTAGCTAGCTAGCTAGCTAGCTAGCTAGCTTACATGCCACCCATATCACCTTGAGGCAACTCTAGATAGCTAACAATGAAAAAGTAAAGCATTAAAATAATATTAATACTATAACTAACGTAAAAATCGACAAAGATGGGAAGAAAGGAAGCAAAATGCACAGGGGGAAGAATTATACAGTTGAAAGTCTTCTAAACAACATTTTCACAACACTTTCACAAATCAGTACTGGTGGTAGGTACGTGACCAGGCTAAAAATCATATGGGGAAAAATAATTTTTAAAAAATAATAAGGAAATGAGATGAGAATTGGAGAAAGGAACTATTAATAGATGTGGGAGAAGATAGAAAATACGAAAGGGGTATTAAAAGCATATCCACTGAATGAAACATTTGGAAGAGATTGCGGAGATCAAAGGTGGACGTAATTAAGAGCTTAAACTCAAGCCTAATTTGAAATTTTAATATTTGAAATGTGACAAATGTTTGACTGCAGAACTTTTGCTATTTTAAATAATGCTTTTGCATAAAATGCTATCATTAACAAGTTTGTACTAGAACTATAGATTTAGGGTCACATATGTATAGCTTCTCTTCTAATAAATAGCACAGAAGTACTGCTCCATAGTGTTTCAAAACACTCTCTGAACTGTTTACAAATTTCAGCATATTTCTCCCAAAAATCTGGGTCCTCATTTTATCGACCTCAGAAGGATGGAATGTGTTTCTGTTCTGTGTTTCGAGGTGTACTTTTAATGGCATAGGTCTGTGATGGCGATCCTATGGCATGTGTGCTGGAAGTGGCACGCAGAGCCATTACTGCCGGCACATGAGTGCTCCCCCAGAAAAGGTCCACTGTGTATGTGCGCCGCTGGCCCGACAGCTGATTGTCGGGTATCTGGCGTGCATGTGCGGGGGCGCGGCAGCCTGCAGGACACATTTGCGCGTGCGCAGAACTGCGTAGCGCAAGTTACACGGCTTGCGCACACGTGCAGAAGTGCGGGTCGCACAAGTCGTGTGAGTTACGCACAGGAGGCATGGGGGGAGGCACACACATTGCCTTCTGGGTGATGGCACGCAAGCACAACCAGGCAAGCGCGTGCACAGTTATCGGCCCGGGAGCCCCAAAAGGTTAGCCACCACTGGCATAGATCTTAACTGTACTTCTTAAGGAAATGTAAAATATTGATTTTTAAATGCTTTACAACATAGACTTGGTTTCTTTCCCCTGTCTAACTAGGCTGTGTGGCTTATCTTTAGGAAAAGGAAAAGGGAGAGGCCGAATAAGACCTGAAGATGAGGAAGAACTTGGGAACGCCAGGCCTTCAGCTCCAAGCACTTTGTTTGACTTTCTCGAGTCAAAAATGGGTACTCTCACAGTAGAAGGTAGGTAGAAAGGTCAGGAGATGCCCGGTTTCATCTCTGATGGAAATCTGCTTGTACAAAGTTGCACGCGGGTTGTCCCTCTTGAGAAAAATTAAATGTCTTTAAATAACACGGCTATTCTGACCCAACTCCCCAAACATGACAAATCTTCTGAAGTTAAAAATTCCTTTATCAGGAGCTCCAGCAGCCGCGGCAAAAAGTTCCTCTCTCAACGCAGGCTAATAAGTCCGTCCGTCCAAAAGATGAATAATTGTCTGCCATATCTATTCATCTCCACCCCCTGCACTTTATCCCCAGAGCTAGGGTGGGATTTCGCTAGCAGCAGTGGCTCATCCGTCTCAAGGATCGGCCCATAGATTTCCACTGCTCTCCTCTCCTCTCTGCCTTTTGCGCATCCGCGCATCAGGCACCTGAACCAGCTGTTCCTCTTCTTATCAGCCACCTCTGGACCTGGGGATTGTTGACTCTCCATCTGAGGGCTGACAGATGGCCTAGGCTCCGCATCTCTCTCTCTCTCTCTCTCTCTCTCTCTCTCTCTCTCTCTCTCTCTCTCCCTCTCTCTCTCTC